AATTCACAACAACCATTGGACGCATGACGTACCAATAAATCGCCGATCCTTCTGGAAAAGGGTTGAGTATAAAAAAGTCCGGCTGCGGTTCCGCAAAATCGTTCTTTAATATACTATACATACAACAGAAATATCATGAAATGCATCAACAATTTATATACAATTTAAACAAATAATGAATAAATAACAAGTATAATATACAAATAATCAACAAAATATACAAGATATGATGAACAACATAATAAAACAACAACTCCTCAATTAGAAAAAATATACTCATAATGGTTAAAACCTCTGTATCCCCAGCGGAGTCGCCATTCTGTTTACATCCCTACTCTATTCGAATAGGGCGAAACGTCACGGTGACTCAAAAAATAATCAATTGATTCAATTTTGAAAGAATTTTAAGAATAAACGAATTTTAAAGGAGTCGCCACCTAATTTTAGGAAAAAATAGGAAACCATTTAAGTGATCTACGAAACTATTAGATTCTAGGTAAGGGGTTCAAGTTATTTCGAAGGGAAGGGGTTAAGCATCCTTTGAAATCCACAAATGTGGATCCCGACTGAATTCATTTTTTTTCAAATTGAGGAGGAGAATAAAATAATGTACAAATATAATAAACATGCAATATACACAAGTAATAAAGTAGACAAGTAATATGAGAAACAACTTAATATTTGTCTATCGTCAACAATATACATCATAATGAATATAACATTCGAACTTTATTCGAATGACTTTGATGAGAAGTGACTTCGGAGTACCTGTAAAGACACTTAGTAAAAGTGTTAGTAATAAATAAATATGAATAAAAATAAGTGAATTAAACAATAACTTAAAAATAAACATCCGTCTTATTAACATGAGAGGCCTTAGAAATCGACGGTAATTTCTTCATCGGCCATTTTTAACAAATAAAATATATAAACTTAAACTAAATTTTCGTCTTTTACAATGTAAAGGCCTCCAAAATCGACGGAGAGATTTTCTCATTGACCATTTTTAACAAACAAAAAATTAAATCCACAAATAAACCAATGATAACGCAATGGTAAAATGAAATAATAATAAGCAAGATTATATTCCGATCCAAAGTAATCAACGAAGTAAACCACAAAAACTATCAAAAGACAAACCACATATATATAGAAACAATCATTAAAAGATTATTGGAAAAGAGTCTAAAAGTAACATAAAATTAACAACTAGATATGATAGCTAAGTAATTGATTTTAACATTATAACAATAACAAAATAATCAAAAGACGGTAATAAGCAAAACAAAATAGAACATTGGAAAGTGGCAAACAAATACAAAAAGAAACATTTGAACAGTAGCTTGAGATTTTTTTATTTTTGTAAACATGTTTATCATCAAAATATATATATATATTAAATAATAACAAATAAGGGTAAGCAAATCTAGGAAAATTATACACCAACAACTATAACGTTAAGTGGTCAAACAAATGTCAGCAATAAAATAAACAAAAATAATAGTAATAAAAATAAATAAAATAATGTAGATCAATGAACAGGAAAAGAGGTTAGCTAGTTATAAATGAAGTTTGACCGAAGTTTAATCTTTCCGGTGAAATCTGAAATGAGATAATATACACTATTTTACTTGAACAAAAATAATAACATGAAAATAATTCAAATCAGTTTCAACAATCATAATAAATAAATAATAACCAACAAAGAGAACAAAATATCAGTAATAAGAATCAAACCCAACAAAAATAAAATAGAACAAAGGTAACAAATGAAGTTTCAACTCAAGCAAAAAGCCAAAACATTAATATCCACCGGAGAAGATAAAATATTGTTGGAAAAAATATTGGCCGGAGTTTGAACTTCTTCGGCCAGATCTGAAAGAAAAATGAAATGAAAGAGAAATAGTTTATTTACCGGAGTTGGAGTATTCGGACTGAATCTGGTCTTTTAATGCAACTGATTTCGCCAGAGAGTGTGGGATTTGTTCGAGTCCTGTTCGGAGCTTTGAGCTTCTTCACCATAGATCTGCAAAAAAAACAACAATAAATATCGTAAAAGGGAAAGGGGAGGGGAATGGTTCGATTTCCTTGTTATTTGCTCCGCCTGAGCCTCGAGCTCTGCCAGAAATGGTGCTTCTGGTTGGCTGGGTGTTGTGGTTTGGTGGTTCTCCGACAGTGAACTGGTGGAGCTCGAAAAATGGGGTTTTGGACAGTGATTCTCTCGTAGTAGTGAGGAGAATAGAGGTGGTTAGTGAGAAGAGAGGGATGGCCAGTGGGGTTTGGTGGTGACTGGCCGGAAAGTTCACCGGAAAGGCAATGAACAGTATATAAAAAAATAAAGTAAAATAGCTCTGAAAATTGAACCCCCATTATAAAATTTATCCACCCCCTTGACCTAATAGACAAATTATTCTTTATATAGGGAGTTGAAAACTACAATATCACTATTTTAAAATGGTCGATTAAAATTATCGGTCAATAAAATATCTGTGTATGAAATATTACCTATATCATAATAAATTTTGGATTGTGCAAAATATCAAAATGAATATTAACAAATGTAACAAATAAAAATGAGTATTAAAAAATATATATATAATGAACGTAACTAATGACATGTAAAATGCAATTTTAAGATTAACTGATAAAAGAGAAATCCTAAATTTTGATAAATAAGGATAGTCATCGATAAACTTATTTAAAAATATAAAAAATATATTTTAAACTATTAAATAAATAAAACTTAAAAGTTACGAATTTTGAAAATGTTAGGCCAAAATTGAGTGTCAACACTTAATGGTAGAAATATATATGAACTGTGTATCGTTGTGGCAAAGTTTAGATAGGGTGAACTTTCGGTATTTTTGGTTTGGTTTTAAGAACTTTGGTATTTGGGTTTTTGATTGTCTTTATCGAATATCGAACCGTTGTTAGCTCGGTTCAGTTTTTTCTTGTTTGCTTCGGTTCAATTTCGGTTTTTTGGTATGAGCTTAGTATACTTAATTATATTCTGCTTAAAATGGCAAAAATCAATTTGGGCGTGACGATTTGTTAGAAACTAAATATCACATCAAAATAAATTGAGTTAGGATTTGATGCCAATGTTATTTAGGAAAATCTCATGGTTATTTTTCAATTGACTTTCTTAATTTCTTATGATGCTGTTTTGTGCCTAGATGAAGTCATAAAGGATCACGTTAACCTTTTATAGTGCTGAAATAAAGAGAAAAACTTTTTTGCCTTCCATTGGGACCATGATTCATGTCTGTTTTTCCCACTGTTGGACAAACTCGACATAAGTCATGTAAATACGTAGGAAGGCGTTTTTTTTTTCACGTAGTTAATTAAATTGACATTATGAACGTTAATACTTCGTCAAGATCTTATGAGTTCTTTATCCCATTTGTCCTAGCCTTGGTGGACAGAGTTACCTAGTACATGTTGTTGGTTGGAGGTGGCAGGTATTCATGCAATTAGTTGAGCATGCAAGCTAGCTCGGACACTACAATTATTAAAAAGAAAAAGAGAAGAACTTATGAGTTCCTTAAATTGACATTGCTAACATCTATATCTTGACATGAGGCACACAAATGCTAAAAGGTGAGAGGAAAAAAACAAGCAGTTATCCTTAATATTTCAACAAAAGGAGTACAAGTTGGGAATGAGTTCTTTGGAGCTACTATAACAATCTTCCACATCTCAAAACGCTCAAAGTGATTGCAAAAGAAGATAGAAATGAGAGGAAAAAAGTCTTGAAGTCTAGCTAAATAATGAGTTAGACCTGAAACTTGGTCTACCATAGTAGTCTACCAAATAGTTTTGTATTTTTTGTTTATCGAAATATATCTTAAATACGAACCAATTATTTTAAAAAAAAAATCAAAAACGAAAACCAATTGAAGAACCAAATTTATTCAGTTCGGTGCAACTTTTCAGTTTTATGCCCACCCCTAAGTCTGAGAGGCAGTGTTATCAAAGGCGCGCTTAAACCCTGAAGCGAGGCTCTAAATGTGTTGAGTGCTTCGCCTCGCTTTAGGTGCGCTTCAGTGTCATCATCAAGGTTCTAAGACAAGCTTTTCCTTGCCAATGAGCGTCTTATGAAATAGTGACACAAAGCAATTGATATTTACTTTATCATTAAAAAAAATTCAATTTCTTTGGTCATATATTTGCCATTTATGTTTATTATTATTAGTCTCGGACTAAACATATATATTTGTATTTTTTTCTCCCTTTGCGCCTTTTTTAATCAAAACCCACGCTTTATTTGCTCTTTACATTTAAAGCCCCACGAACCTTAGAGCTTTTTAGCGCTTTTCGCCTTTGATAACACTGCTGAGAGGATGACACAACTTAAAGGAGCATTAAGTTGATAAATGAAGGAGAATTGTGCCTTGAACAATATCTTTATTAAAAAAAAATTCCAGCAATCATAGTATCTAAATTTGGCTATAAGCTGAGGTTAGAGAGCTTTACTAAATTAATTTATTTTCATTGTAAAAAATAAAGATGTATAAATGGCACCGACAGATTCTGAAATCAGCTCATATGGATGCTAGAACTTTGGATTTGTATGTTTCAAATGTTCTCATGCGCAAGATATGTGGTCTAAGGGGAGCATTAGTATAAATTCACTTGGCCTAATGAGAAGATTGCTTGCTTAGATGACCTGAGATGAGCAAGATGTTTGTTAGATGGATGGCATGGTTTGAGTAGTAGGTACCGTGCTCCGAAATATGAACAGATCACTGGGAGTTTTAATGCACCTGTGATGCCTAGGGGAAAAAGAGAAGTTCCAATGAGAAGTAGTCCAAACATTTTTATAGTGGATCTTGTTTGACATTTTCACTTGTAATGTAGGAAATGGGTGCTTATGCTGTTGGGTAATTGCTTATTGTTGTTTCAATATAAGTATTCACTGAAATGGTTTCTATACTAACTCTCATCTGTCTGCTAGTATGATGGCTTGAGCCGGAATATGAATTGGCAGATGCATGATCTTGATGAAAGCATTGTGTGCTTGGAGTCTCATCTAAAGTCAATTCGTTTGATTGATTTCAAAGGTGAAGAAAACGAGATAAAACTACTAAAGTTTTTTCTGAAGAATGCACCAGTGTTGGAAAAACTGACTATTTTCTGGGTGAAGTATCCTGATAAATCAGAAGAGGCTTTAGAGAAGGTTTTAAAGCTTCCTAAAACTTCTTCACAGGTTGTTCTGACATTTCTCGATGCCAAGCCCCAACCAAGTTCTCGTAAATGTTACGATAGATAATTCAAAATGACTCGACCTGGGAGATGGTTATTCGATTGTTGGATGTACTCTTATTGGGAATTCTCTTGAAGATACAAGCCAGAACCAAACTGTATAATAAATTACATTGATCCGTGGTTTTTATGGAACCGCTATAGTTGTTTCATGTTTCATGTTTGGACTGCTATAGAGTAGCTAAGAGGAAGGTCAAGTCTTATTTCTACTGGAAAGTATCAAGCAGGGTGTGGTTAACTTCCTTTATAAGTGCCAAAGAAGCAATTTTAGTGCTTCCTAAACACTGATTTTTTGCAACTATTGATACTGTTTGCTCAGAAATCAATGTGTATTTCATAGAAACACGTCTTCATATCTCCTTTAAACTACATGAAATGCTTGCTATTATTATGAGTTGTCGAGATCCTATTTTCATCAGCTCAATCTGCCAAGAGGTTTTTGTTTTTTGCTTCATACTTCAACATATCATCCTCTGAAGCATCCTCAATCGGTGTCTCGACGCTTATTTGATGTACATATATACAAGTACTTGTAAAGCTCTGGGAAATGGGTGACTAGAGCTTTTTACCACTTGAATAGCAGAAAATGACTTTATTAATTTTTTTTAGTTTCAATAAATTGTAAAAAAAAATTCAATTTCAATTCAAACTCTATCTAGAGCACTATGTTTTAAATAGTTTCAGGTCAATAAAAAATCTAACTTACATTTTTGGGTTAAAAATTATCATGTTAATCCAAACCAAACAAACTCTAATAATTTTGGGGAAAAACGTTATATTTTCATTCTTTTCTTTTTGAGCAACTTTCACATATAGCAAACATAAAAATCATATTTGTATGCTATAACTATAGTTTGCATAATTGCGCTCTATAGCAAACATAAATATGTATATTTTGCTATACACATACAAAGAAAACAGTTGTATAATTCGCTATACATATACAAAGAAAGCATTTGTATAATTCGTTATACATATACAAAAGAAAGCGCTTGTATAATCTGTTTCGGTATACATATACAAAAGATCAATTGTATAATATGTGTTTGTATAAAGCGAGGAAGAGAGAAAAACAAAAGAAAACTGAGCAGGGGAAGATTATATTTGTATAATCATAAGTGTATATGACGAAAATATATGCATTTGTATTTGTATATATAATTTTCTCTCGCTTTATACAAACACAAACGCAATGTATACATTTGTGTTTGTATAAAGTGAGAGAGGCAAGTGAGAGTGGCGAGCGAGATCTAGGAGAGGAGAGACAAGAGAACGAAAATATATGTATATATATAATTTTCTCTCGCTTCATACAAACACAAACACATTTTATACATTTGTGTTTGTATAAAAGCGAGAGAGGTGAGCGAGACTGCCACCAAAACGAGAGAGGCGAGCGAGATTCCACCAGGGAGAGAGGCAAAAATAGCAATAGTTTGTTATATGGTACAATTAAATCAAGGGCAAATTACAGAAATCACATACTTTTAAGGCAAAATTACAATTTATCCCTTAAAAGTTTATAATTACAGAAATCCCTCAAACGGATACAATAATATAAACGTTGATACATTAATCTGATGCGCGAGATACATTAATTATTAAGTAAGATACATTACATTTTATATATTATATTAAATATCAAACTATGTTTATAGCATTTAATTTAAATTAATAGTTTGTTATTATATACAATTTTTCTTATTTTTTTGCCAAAGAGGGAAAACCTTATAGCAAAGTCCAACGACGGCCGTTTTCTTCTCTCTCCCATCGGTTCATACAGACCGGGACTGGTGACCTTTGTTGAGTTTTGCTATCAGGGTGCCATTTTTACCTATCGTATATCTTCATAACAAGGTAAATTTGTTGGTATTTTCAGCTTTCTACTCATTCAAATCGGAATTTATAATGGAAGTATCAACCAGAAAACCTAAGATTTCCAGTACCAGTACAGGGATTGATAGAATAAGCTCATTGCCAGATGATGTACTTCACAACATACTTTCATATCTCTTTATTTTTTATGTGGTTCAGTTGAGTATGTTATCGAAAAGATGGAGATATGTATGGACTACAATGCCTTACTTGCACTTTGATATTGATCAATTTTATCCACAACGGTATTGTGATTTTGTAATAGCTGGGAGATTTAAAGACTTCATCAATTGGGTATTGATTTCCCAAGGTGACTTTAATAAACTTGTTCAGTTTCTTCTCTGTTTTGACAATTTGTTTGATGAGTCAACTATTTTGCGATGGATTAATCATGTGACTACAAGGCGAAATGTACAAGAACTTGTGTTAAAATTTCGTCTTGGTAAGCCATTTGAGTTACCGTATTGTCTTGTAACGTATCGTTGCAAGTTTTGAAACTACACTTGTCTGGGGATGTACTTAAACTGCCTAATTCTGTGGGATTTCATCAGCTGAAGTTGCTTCATCTTGATGCTATTGCTCAAGTATTCTCCTAATCTGGAGGTTCTTAAATTTTGGTCTGATGAGGTAAAGGTTGTCTTCGTTTTCACTAATTCTTCTGTAGAAAACCGTTTTTCTATATGGTAGTTGCTCAGAAGGACTTGTAAGTAAAACTAGATAAGGTTGATTAACATGAAGGATCTTTCAAGAACAGAAGGTGAGAAACTAGGATTAAAAACTGACATCACTAAATCTTCCAAGGAAAAGTTGACTTATAATTGATGCTACATTATCTCTATTTTCGAGTAATTTGACCCTAACAAGCAAATTCCACTCACCAAAAATGCTAAACATGCCACAATGAGAGGGAGAATCTGCTAATCATCAATTATAATTTTTAACACACACTTTGTAGTTGGCATGTCAGTTTAAAATCACATTTGCTGCATTGATTTTAATGTTTGAATCATATTTACTTCATGGATTTTAATGTTTGAAATAGATTTAAACTGTAAAGTAATGTGGGGAAAATCTGAGAAGAATTGAGATGATATTACAACTTTAGGGAGCATTAAGTTGATAAATGGAGAAATTTACACTGAGATTCTAAAATCAACTTATTTCAATGCTAGAACTTTGGAGATGTGTTTCAAATGTGTTTATGCACAAAATATATGGTCTAAAGGGAGCAGTAGTTTAATCCTGCTGCATACAAACATAAATCCTGGTGAGTGGATAGGTCACTGGATAATTTAATGCATCAGTAGAACTTATGGGAAAAGAAAAATCCAAAGAGAAGTAAATGATCCAAGACATTTTAGAAATGAATCCTGTTTGACATTTCCACTTTTAATCGAGGAATGGTTGCCTACACTGCTGAATGATTAATTATTGCTATTCATTTATTGCTGTTTTGATATAAGAGCTTACTATGCCCGATGAAGTGGTTTCTCTACTGACTCTCAACCGTCTGCTAGAGTGTAGACGAGAGTGTAAATTGGCAGCTGCTTGATCTCGATGAAAGCATTGTGTGCTTGGAATCCCATCTAAAGTCAATTCATTTGACTGGTTTCAAAGGTGAAGAAAACGAGATAGAACTACTGAAGTTTTTCCTGAAGAATGCACAAGTATTGGAAAAACTGATGATTTTCTGGGAAATGGACATGGATAAGTCAGAAGAAGCATCAGAGGAAGTTTTGAACTTTCCTAGAACTTCTTCACACGTTGTTCTGACGTTTCTTGATGCCAAGCCCAAGCAAAGATCCATAAGTGGTACAATAGATATTCAAAATGACTCGACCTAGGAGAGAATTATTCGATTGTTGGATGTCTCTTATTGAGATTTCTTTTAAAGATTCAAGTCTGAACCAGACTATAAGCAATTTCATTGGACTGTGATGTTTACGGAACTTCTATTGCTGTTCTGCGTTTAATGTTTGAACTGCTAGAGAGTAACTAGGAAAGTCATGTCTTTTTCCAATGGGGAAGTATCATGCAGGATACCAAAATTCTGGTATTGTTTTGCTTCGACACTTAAAGATCCCCTGCTTTGCTAGAAGGGCACTTTGCTGAAGTCTTTAAAGCTGTTTGTGGCTTTATGTTGATGACGATTTAATGCAAGTTATGATATTATTGCTCAAGCATTCTCCTAATCTGGAGGTTCTTAAATCATGGCCTGATTAGGTAATGCTGCTCATCAATTATTTTTTTTGGTAATTCTGTATAAATTCTGTTATATGGTAGTTGGTGTTGCAAGTTTTGTTAAAATAGAGTCTGATTTACGCGAAAGGATTCTTTGGATGACAGGCTGAACCATGTCTTGCATACTGGAGTCCAAAACTCAGAACAGATTGGCCCAACTGATTTTAAACTCGGATAAGTTATGGATATATACTATTCGGCCAATTAGTTTTCCAACATGATTGAAACATACACTAACGTATATACTATCAATGTATATATTTACCACGAGTCATGTTTGATCAGTACCCTCTTCTCGGACTCTCATTCAACACTGCTTTACAATTATTATTATTATTTACGTGTGAGGGAGGAGAGTATGCAGTAAACAAAAAACACTACGATCACTGAATCACATGTTAAAATTCAATTATAAGACGAATTGTAACAATAGAACAATAGTACTGGTGCAAAGTCATGTGTACCCCAGTTGGGGTGACACAGTACACTAGTGATAATGTTGGTCATTAGTTGCCACCTTAGTATAAGGTCAATGCATAAAAAGACATTGACAATATCTACCTAACGTGCAACTCCAACTATTATCCACTTTAGCCATATCACAACTCACAAGTTTGTACTATTTTTTTTCAAAAAGAGAAGAATTTTAGAGGAAAAGAACAAAGTATAAATTGCCCAAAGATAGAAGTATTATTTTCACGATTCGACTATGAGACATTGTTGATAGGATTTTCAAGATTCGACTATGAGACATTGGATTAAAGCAAAGAAACCCAAACATTTCATGCACCTATATATATCAGGAGTTCTTTAGTTGGTGGAATAAGAAATCATTAACAATCCGTGTGGAATTGCCTTATCCCAAATTTGATACAACTTTTAAATCTGAGATTAACAATTCCTAGATTTTTGTTTTTATCTCACACTCTTAACATTTCGAAATTACTAATTTCGAGATAAGAATAACAAATTCTGTCACATTTTCCTTTCTGATCTTGAAAGCTTGTCTCCTATATAGTCTTTTAGAAGAGTCGAGATTAAAATCTAAAATAAAAATTTATCCAAACTATCTAGTTTAAACCAAACATGTGTTTTATATTATACATCACACATTTCAATTTAGTACCATAACCCAATATCTACTAATACTAATAAAAGTATATGTGATAAATAATCTTATTATCATTTATTTTCGTATTACAATGTCAAGATAAATTTGTTCGACAAAAAAACAAACAATCCCTTGTGTGGTTAAAAAAGTTCTTCATTTTACTTCAACTACTTAGCAGCAAATACAAAGTGTTTCTTCTTTCATATCATGAATAAATGGCGTGTTTAATTAGGATTGTTGAAACTCCCAAAACAAGTTATGGAATGAAGATAATGTCTTTTCAAGTAACAATAAAAAAATAGATATATTTGTTTTTATCTCTACTATGGTCAATACAAGAAATCGATTGATTCATGACATTTCAACTTAACCAAAAGTATTTTATTTTACCTAGAATAAGTTACTTTGAAACCAAATTTCCCTCACATTCACAGAATATTGTACTCTAGCATAATCATTTTTGAACTTGACTTTAGACTATAAATTACTATACTATGTTTTCGTGATGTCTAAGAAATGAATCTCCAACTTCATATTCCTAGTACTTTTTTTCCGCACCCCACTTATCAGGAAGATCAATAATGTTTTCACCTGTCCTTCCAGGTGACTCGAACCCTCAACCTATCGATTAATGTTGAAGGATCAAACACTAAAACAAGCCTGAGTATATATGATGTCACTCATAATATATGCTAAACTAAGCTCTACTTAAACTGAATAGAAGAATCAAATAATAAACTAGTATTAGAAGAGACTAGGGTCCCAGTTAATTAAGTACATAAAAAGATTACTGCTATAATTAAGGGTGTACTTACCTGTAAACGTTACTAATTACTTACGCCATAAACGTACATGCTGATTAATCATGAATCGAATATAAATATTACATTAGTACTAGACTCTCACATAATATATATATATATAAATTGTTTTCTCCCTTGTCCTATCTTACGTTATCACGACTTTAGTAATGACCAAATGTGAATATAATCGTTTGGTACGAGGGATAAGAATAAATAGTCCTGGGATAAAAATTTGGTGTCTAGTTTGGTTGTCAAAGTGATGGGATAAGTTATCTCATATACATAGTGGGATAAGTTATCCCAAGATAACTATCCTGAATAATTAATCCTTGGATAACTTGTTCCCAACTAAACGAACTAACCCTCCCTAACGGGTAGAGACATGAATCATGATCAATTTACTTAAAATGTTTCAACTTTAATATAAATAAAAGAAAAACAATAGACGAGAAAAATCCACTATTCATCATCAATATAAATAAATCATGGTCTTTACTACAAAATTATATCGAGCTAGCTAGCCATACATAAATAAAGGGAAAAAACTCGACATAACGAATAGAAAATCCACCATAGCAACATGCAGCTAGCTCACAATATATATATGATTCGTTGTGACATTGTTATTGTTGTTCCTTTATAAAACTATATAATATAATAATTATCAATAATATATAGGGGTAGCTAGGCACGTACTATATACAGAATATTGGTGGATGTAATAATAATAATAATAATATTAATTCTAGAAAGAGGTGAAACAATCATGATCAGAAGAGTTAGAATCATCACAAGGAGAATGGTTATGTCTACCTTCATACGTAGTTATTACCATACGACAATCTTCTGATAATCTTTCAACTCTCTTCTTCACTCTACAATTACTATGCGTACATCGATAGTAACTCCTGCAATAACAATAAGAAAATGAGAATATAAGTAATTTTCTTATTTATTTTAGTATATTTGGGAAGTATTTACGTATATTTATATTTAATCTGACCACACACAATACTATAAGAAAAGTGCGAGGTGGATGAAAAACACTATCAGCTACTTATGAAATTTGTTTTCTGTATTTGCACCACCAATAACCAATGATTTAGATTATTTACTTCCTTCCATTCTTATCGATCATGCTTTAGTTTATATCCTCTGTTTCATATTATTTGAACTTTGTATTAAAATTAAGATTTTCAATTTACTTACTTACCCTTGAGAAATGTCAAATGCATGCTTGCACTCCACGTTAATCTCCAGGGGTATACATATGCATTTTCAATTCAATTCAGTCGCAATACTCTCTTTATTTCATTTGACATTTATATTAAAACATAATACATTTTTTACTTATTCATTTTAATAAATTAAGAGAGTTTTATTATTTTTTCGTACTATTTTAATATTAAATAACTATATAAAATAGTAATAGTAGTAGTCAAATTTTGAGCTAATTAGTTTCATAGTACCATTAATAAAGTTAATTTAATAAAATACACTTCCAATAAAAGATTTCGTAAGAGCTGTATCAAGTTAATATATAGGAGACAAATAAAATGAAACACTCGGAGTACTATTTTCATCCATTAATTAATTAAAGTATGTGACCATTTCATCTAAAAACTTAAGTTATTTTAAAAAAATATTTTTATTATTTAATTATATTCTCGACTTAATCAATTTCTTATTGAACTACGCAAATTATGATCGGCACAGGGACTTTACAGTAAATTACACCCCTGATAGTCTTTCATACTCCAATTATGTGATTCGTTCAGCTCATATTGACAAATTTAAAAAATACTTGTGCAATTTCAATTTATCATAAATATCTTAACTAAGAAGTGAGATGCAATATATTCTTGGATAAATTGATGATTTTTTTTCTAATTTTTTTTTAATTTCTAAAATATAAGCAAAAGGTTCAACCGTTCCAGGTTATTTGGATGGGAACAAGTTATCTCGAGATTAATTATTCTGGGATTAATTATCCTGGAATAAGTTATTCCATCATATATATGTGATAACTTATCTCATTACTAAGGTATAAATGGTGAAATAAATAATCTAAAAATTACCTAATACCTCCAAAACACAGATTAAAATAATACTACATTTTATTATAAAATTATTATACCAACACCTCACACCAAACGACTCTTTCAACTTTCAGTCTATTTGTTGTAGGAGCCATTAGACAATATTCACGCAAAGATTAGTGTAACATACATCTCTTGAAAACAACCATATTTAGAATTACTAAATACTCTCTCCGTTTCTATTTAGTTAGCCTATATTATATAAATAGAAAACGATTGAAGAATTAATAAGGATATATTAATTAAATTATACTACTAATTGATTTTTTCTTAAATATTATACAAAACTGTATCCTGACAACTAAATTATACTACTAGTAATGCACTTTAACGACTTAAGTTATTTATAAGATGATAATGCACCTCAACATGATATCGATAAACATATGTCACTGTCATCCATTATCAGTATATATAGACGGTCCATTACCAAATCTATTACTTAACATTTCTCAGGCTATACAAATATATAGGAAATATTATTTTGAATTTAAGGTAATTATTAGAACTAGGAAAATAAGAGAAAATACTGGAAGCAAATAAAGCCAAAGTAGAAAAATACAAAGCAAAAGGGGAATTGGAGCAGAAAAAAGAAATATTCATCAATGGTTTAGAGGAGAATTGAAGATATATTAGATGGTCCACAGGCTACTGTCAACAGGGTCTCTATCCCACTTCTAGATATGGAGTAGAAGTAATAATACCAATTTATACAATTTCTTGTACTTCCCAAAACTATTTGAAAGCACACCATATATATCACTTTCACCATTTTTAATTTTAAATTGTAGGTCCAATATAATGTCCCGTGAATCGGAGTTAGAATTTTAATTTTTAGATTAATTTTAAAATTATGGGCTTAAATCACCAAAAGAACAAGCATGTGTGATCTTCTAGGGAGGGTTTAAAAAAATACAAAAAAAAACAAACCAACATTTCAAGTATTGCTCCTTTCATCTCAAGTCATTTGTCGCACCTTCGGAAAATAGTTTTCTCAAATAATTTGTTATTATAGGAGTTCAATGCATAATTAATTATATTTTTGTCATTTTGTTATTATAGTTATTATTTTTAAAGGCTATAAACAACTCAATTATATGATGATATTATGATTTGAGGAGAAGAGACTAATATCAAGTTAGTTCTAAATTTAAGTTATCCCATTTAATTAAATATTAATATAAATATACT